CATGTAGAGAGCACAGTCCTCAGGCTCCCTGTGCAAGGAGCTTGGTTTGTGTCCTCCCATTGCTGCCCCAGCTCTGCAGCTCATCTCTGGTGCTGCTGGTTGTCCCCTGTGTGCAGCCCAGAGGTGTTGTGGTCATCTGGGATCCTGTCATCCCTCGGATCTTTAGGCACACTCTGTGTCACTCTGTGTGTGTCTGCTTTCCATCAGGATCATAGTCCTGGGTAATGTGTGGGGTCTGTGAATCATCATCTCAGTCCCTGTTTATCTTCAAAGCTCCTTTAACATCATAATTCTTCCTTTCAGCACTCAAACTCAATTTTATTTGCAGACCTGTAGTGGTGAGTGTTTGATTTCAAGCCAGCCCTGGTTCCACAGAGCCTGCAGCAGGCTGGACTGACCCTGCTTCCCAGGAACAGCAACTGCACGAGTTCTTCCTTGCCCTCTCGGGGTGATGGAGTCTGGGCTTGGAGTGACTTTGCTGCCCACCAATTAAAGAAAAGCTTGGATGCCTTTGGGAGCAGGGATCCTGCTCTGTGTGCAGCTGGCAGGAGGCTCTGCAGGGGAAATGAAGGTGTCTGGTACCCAGAGATGTCTCATGTTCTAACACTCGTCTGCCAACTCCTGGGTGACAGAAGTTCCATCTCTGCACACCTGGGGATGTGTCTGTGCTTGTGTTTTACACAAAGGAAAATTTTAAAATACAACACTTTACAGTATTTGTACAAACCACATGGAAACAGTGCATGGAACAAAACCTGCCTGGCCTTTAGAAGCTGTTTCATGATCTCTTGGGCAGCATTAGGAAGTGCAAGGAGTTCAGTTGTTTCAAATGAGGAGCATCTCTGCCTTATCACTCAGTGTTTTAGCTCTTCTCAGTAACAGCTGGCAGGTACAGTGCACTTCTGTCACTGCTGTCATGTACCACCACCTTGTCTGCAGCGGGGTCTGAGTGATGGGAAACATGGTTTGTCTTGGCTTTCTCTGTTGTCAGCCTCAAGGATTCACGAGAGGTGAATTCACAGCTCACAGAGGGTGTGGTTTATGTGTGTATGGAAATATCCAAATAACAGCATTGTCTTCTGGGCTGAGCTCTCCTAACATGTGAGAGCATGGCCATAAACTAAACCACAACAAGTTCCACCTCAACATGAGAAGAACTTCTTTCCATGGAGGTGGCAGAGCACCGGAACAGCTGCCCAGGGAGGTCACGAAGACATTCCAAACCCACCTGGGCACATTCCTGTGTCACCTGCTCCAGGTGACCCTGCCTTGGCAGGGGAGTTGGACTGGATGGTCTTCAGAGGGCCCTTCCACCCCCAACTATTCTGTGATTCTGAGAGGGAGGTAGTTTTGTATTTTTTGTGGAGGAAAGCAGGAATCCATGCAGCTTTGGGAAAAATCTCTGAAAGATCAGATATTGTGGTGATTGTTTCTATTATGAAGCTGTTTGTTCTTTGGGGCAACTTTTCTTTGTAAAAATAAAATATGCCAGTGTCACTGAGCCTCCTGGGGCTGGGTTTTCCTGCTGAGCAGTAGCTCAGCAGTGGAGCAGTCGAGGACACGCTCCTGCTTTGGCACAACCCCGAAGGTGGTTCACCTTTGTCTCCCAGAGTGAGACTTACCAGTGCATCATGTGGGCTTGTTTTTGTCTTGGCAAACAGGAGGAATGTTGGAGCAGGCTCTGCTGGGTTTGTTGTGGGTGCTGGGAGGCTGATGCTGGAGCAGGGGGTGCTTTCCAAGGAAGGCACTGCCTCAGGTGTGCAGGCACCTCCCTGGGACTGCTCTGTCCTTGGAGTCACTGCTTTCGTAAACCACAATACCTGAAGCAGGGAAGATTCTTTTGCCTAATTTAAGCCTAATTTGTCTTCTTTAAAGCTGATTTATCTTTATTGTGGTCACTGATATAATGGCAACCTGTGAGGGTGTATGTGGGTCACCTCCAGCCCGAGGGGGACTGCAGCAGGTGGCATCTGCTGTCACCTGCAGGAGCTGCTCTCTGCTTTGTTAGACCTGTGCTTTGCCCAGTTGCCAGCAGTAACCTGTCAGCTTGCTCAAAATCAGCTGGTGTAACTATACTTCGAGATTTCCTGGACATACTCATCTTGCTACCTCTATTCCCTGGGCTGAGGTGAGTGCAGGCAGTGGGTGCTGGATGGTGGAGAGGGGCAGGTTCCAGGAGTCCTGGTGCTGGTGTCCTGGGAGGCTGGAACCAAAATGCAAGAGCTTAAAGTGTTCCTAACAGTGCCCCCACTGGCATATGCCAGCCATATGTTACAGGCCTGGACTGCTGCTTTTATGCCAGGAAAAATTCCTCAGGAGCAGCCCTGTCCATGTCCTTGTGAGCAGCAGTTTGTGGGATCTGAGCTTTCTGGGGAGGGCAGGGAAGAGGAAGCCCCTGCATCTCCCCAGAACAGTGTGTTCCTCCCTCCTGCCTGGGAGCTTTCCAGTTTAATCCTCACCTCTTCCATGTCCAGATTTCTTCAAGGTGTCCCTTTTTGTGGAACCTCACACCTGGGAGTGATGCCCCTTTCATGCTTCTGTCTGATGTTCAGACCTGTTCAGAATATTGATAATGTGCTGAAGATCTTCAGAGTCTTGGAGCTTGGGGAGCTGGAGAGCTGGGAGTAGAATTGCCATCTGAAATGCTGGTCATTGCCAGGGAGAACTGGGCTCCTGCCAGAACCCTGGCAGGAGGCTGAGCCGGGCCCTGGGAGGGCTGGCACGGTCGGTCCTGATGCTGCATCACCTTATTCCACGTGTCAGACACCCAAGGGTGCTTTGCCATCATCCATCCTCCTGCAGAGCTTGCTGGATTTGAAATGCATCCCGTGGGGTCTGTGCTTTTCCTGAAGCAAAGTGTTCCCAGCTGCAGGGGAGCCCAGGAATGCTGCAGGGGAGCAGAGGAATGTTGTAGGGGAGCCCAGGAATGCTGCAGGGGAGCCCAGGAATGTTGTAGGGGAGCCCAGGAATGCTGCAGGGGAGCACAGGAAGGCTGCAGGGGAGCACAGGAAGGCTGCAGGGGAGCCCAGGAAGGCTGCAGGGGAGCAGAGGAATGCTGCAGGGGAGCACAGGAAGGCTGCAGGATAGCGGCAGCTCGGTGTAGGAAGCAGTTTGTCACTGAGGATTAAAAATGCAGTTGAGGACTAGTGCTGTAAAAGGGTTTAATCCAGGACCTCCATCTCTGTTTTCTCCAAAAATATCCCTCCTAATGCGTTTTATCCGGGCATGTCCTTCACCAGACTCTCCCTGCAGATGGGAGGAGAGGTGATAAAATGAGTATTTTGTGTGAGATGCTCAAGCCAGTGAGGCTCAGCAGGCAGGCTGTGGGCCTCAGAAATCCACTGATGTATATTTTATTAGAGGAACATTTGAGTCTCTTATTGCCCTTCACGTTCAGGTTGATAAATCTGTTTCAGGGCTGAAAATGAAATCCTTTTGTGCTGTCACAGCCCTCAAGGGCAGTTGAGCATTATTCAGAAGAAGTAATGAATTGGTCCTGTTCTAAATAGCAAGGACTTGGGACAAATCCCATTGTGACATAAAAAGTTGATGTGAGCCCTGGGGCAGACTGGCTGCAGGCCACTCTGGAGGGATTTTCTCTGATCCTTGGCCCAGAGGGGCTGGGGGAGGAAGGCAGAGCAGGACAATAACCCTTGGGAAATGATCTGCATGTGTGTGTTGGGATCTGTGTGTTTCCTGCACTTGTGCTGGGATTTAAGGGTGTCTTAAGAGAAAAATCCATCCTGGATTGCTTTTGGCAATGGGTTGACACTGTCAAATAGTTCCTGTTGCACTGCCTGTAAATTTGTATCTGGTAGAGGTAGTTGTGCTTTAATTCTGAAAATGACACCCTGTGGGCAAGTTTAGCTTTTCCCCAAATTAAATTTATTCAGTCCATAGCTAAGGGTAGAAACATCTTGTGTTTGCCATCCTTCTCCCCAGTTCTGGAGGCATTTTGTTCCCAATCTTCATTGCTCAGCCATTGTTTTCTGGAATAATCTGCAGAAGCAGACGGGCTGAGGGAGGTGCAGGATGGGGCTGAGGTTCCTCTGCTGAGCTCCCTGTGTATGATCCATCCTACCTCATGATGGGGCTGGGAGTACTGGGATTTGGGTTTTTAGCTGCTGATTTGTGAGTAATAGTGGAAGGGACAAAAATGAACAGACCATTGAAATAGGATTGGTCCTTTGAATTTAAAAAACAAAAGAAAGGAGGAGGACACCCCCACCAAATTTGTTGCAGTAGGCTTTTTTTAGTCATAGGCTGGAACTGGCTGTTTAACTTAACTTTCTTTTGTGTTTTATGGATCTGGGATGTTTCCTATAAAGTTGAAAATATCTGCATCATGATATTCTGTGATATTTCTTTTGAGAGGTGATATAAAGGGATTCTGGGGTTGGACAGCAGCTAGCTGAGGTTAAACCTTCCTGTGGACCCTCAGTACTGCCCTGTGTGAAGGTGTGCATCCAGAATAGATGTGCTCAAATCCCAGTGTTCTGGGTGATGGCAGGGAAGCAGGAAGGTCACACTGTGCTGTAGGGTTGCCCAGGGCTGTAAGGGAGCTGCTCTGGCTCCAGCTCCCCTTAGCAGCTTTCAGAATATCCCAGTGTCCTGTTACTGGGCAAGAAACACCTTCCAGGGAATGCTGGGACCTGCTCCTCGTGGCAGTGCCCAGGGAAGCTTCATGAGCACCAGGGTTCACTGGCAGGGGTACAGCATTTGCCTGGCAGGCCTGTTCCTGGGGGATTTTAAAGGATTTTCTATAGGTAGGGTAGAAAATCCAGGGTACTCCCACAGTGCAGAGCTTTGGGATGGAAGTACCTGTGAGACAGAAATGTTGGGAAGAGGGAGAGGAGCTTGTTGGTACCAATGGACTCTGAGTGTGCCAGGACTCACGAGACCTGTTTTGTGCTTTGTGGATTGACAGAAGTCTTGAGGCTTGGCTTAGCACAAGAAAAACAGAATTTGTTTTGACTTTTTCCCCTGTCTCTCTCTCCCAGCCTATGCAAGCAGCAAGATGTCCCACAGATGAGCTGTCCTTGACCAACTGTGCTGTGGTGAACGAGAAGGACTTCCAGTCTGGGCAGTAAGTGCTGCTCTGGCAGCTTTGAACCCCAAAGGAATTGTTGTCAAAGTTTGGGTGGAGGGGGAGGGTGAATACAGGAGGTTATTTAACAAAACTCCTGTGTCTTTAGAGACTAAAACTTTAAACGTGGCTCTTTCTCAGAATGGGAGGTGCTAAAATAATTCTGACTGTTTCTCTGAAGCATTTCTTCCTTGGGAACTGCATCTGCTTAACTAACACAGGATCACTGTTTTAATGAAGGTCTTCAGGCCTTTTTGTGATCTTTCTTGTTTATTTTGGTTTTACTGTTCTTCCTATTACACAGTTGGAATATTTGAACTATTTCAAAAACATTTTTGTCATTTACTTGTGTTACTTGGGGCATCTTTTCACTGTCACATCATATGGGAGTGCTGAGCAGAGTCAGGAGAACTCCCTCTTGTTCTCAGGGTTTTCATGCACCAGGACAAAAGGGAAAAGCAGCCTGAGTGTGGGCACAACAAGTTGGATTTTTTAATTACAGCTCTGGGGTGGCTGACAGAACCTGACTCTGGGTTTTACTTCTGTGAGAAAGGCAGAAAACAGATGAATTTTTCAGCTCAGCCCACACAGGAGGGTTTTGTGTTCAAAGCAGCCAATTAACAGGTTTGGTTTCTGTGCTTTGGTGCAGCTTTAGGGAGGTTCTCCCAGAATTCAGGATGTAGGTTGTAGACAGGAGTAATTAATTGCAGGAAGGGAGTATCACATGCAGCACAAGGCAGGAGAGGGTTTGAAAAATGGGAAAAAATGTTAAAGGAGATACTGAATGATCCACTCAGATAAAATACCTGCCCCAGGTGAACTCTGCTGAGGGTGGAGGGCACAGTGGTGCTGAACTGTGGGAATGCAGGGATGTGTTTAGGACCTGCCTCTCTGTGCTGTCACTCAGCTCTGCTGCCCTGGGACCTGTCCTGGCCCTTGAGGCATGAACTGAAGTGTGATTTCACGAGCCCAACTTGAGTATAAAATGCCAAAACAGATCAAACTCACCACCCCAGAAACCCCAGATGAGCAGAACTTTTAGAGCCAGAAGCAGGTGAAAGTGTGTATTTGGACAGGGAAGTGTCCTGGTCTGTTCAAATGGTGGTTTTCCCCTGGTAGATTTTTTTCCAGAGTAATTGAGTTACAAAAATACCTGCACTGAGCATTGTACCTCATGCATTATACAAACCTTAATTTCCTCCAGTCTGGGTGTCCTGGAGGGACCCAGCTGCCAGACCTTCAGCAGTGGCCGTGTTCCTTTTGCTCCCAGAGCCCTCTGCCGTGGCACCTGGGGAGGTTTGCAGGCAGCAGTGCCCCGAGGTGTGCTGGGTGAGCAGCTGGCCCTGGTTCTGGCCGGGCTCATCCCCCTGAGAGCTGCTCGTTTGCAGCACTGAGAGCTCCCACGGGCACAGCCTGTGCTTGGTGGGAGCAGATGCTGTAAATTGCTTTGCAGAGCACAGGGAAGCTCCTGGTGAAGGCTGGAGTCAGTGCTGCATTGCAGATCCCTGGAACCAGCCCCAACCAGCCCTGCAGTGGCTGTACCTCATGTCCCTGCCCACCACTGCCTGCACACAGTGGCCTTGGGGACAGTCCCACCCAGGGCTCTGCTCTGACACTGCCCATTGCTGCTCGGGTGTGCAGTCTGACCTTAGAGCTGGTTTAGCCCCAGGATGCTGCTCTCCATCTTTTGGTGCTCCATTTTGCACACCCTGTGAGCTGGGCAGGAATGAGTCACTGTTTGGTGCTGCAGGAGTTCACGGGAGGCCATGCTCCGGATTTTGGGGACTTGCACTGTCTTGAGTTCCCATGACCTGCTTTTACCTTGTGGACTCCTGGGGTAGTTTGGAGAGAGAAACAGGTGCTGAGCACACCCAGGCAGGGAGGGGACAACGGTCAGGGCAGGTTGGCTCAATGGCAGTTTTCTTGTTTGTGTTGAGAACTGACTAATTGTTCTCGCCTTTTATCCCTGCCTTTTCCATGGAACACCATCCCTCCTATCTCATGCCAGTTTAGTTGTGTGAGGAGCCCTTGAGGAGCCTTGCTGAATAATGGCAGTAGGTTTCCCGACATGCACCAGAGGAATATCTGCCTGTAGGGATCAGGTGCTTGCTGGCACCTCTGCCAGACACCTGAGTCATCCCCTCCCTCCTCCTGTGTGCATAAAAACTGATGCACACCCAGGTTAATGTCTGTTGGTTGGCTCAGCCTGGCCAGCAAATGTACCAGCAGTTGCCTGAGCCTGGCCTGGAGTCCTTCCTAAGGGCTGGCATCACACACTTTGGTTCTCACCGTTCCAGGCAAGGCTTTACACGTGGAATAACGCAGCGGTTTCACCTGGGAGAGCTCCTGGGACCTGCCTGGCCCTGGTCATTCCTTGTTCCTTTTGTTCATTTATGAGCAGAAGCTCTTAATGAGGTTGAGATTTCCCCTGTGTGTCTCTGAGCTCCTTCCTGGTGAACATCAATATAGGAAAATGCACTTAGTTTTTCTGCTGTTGCCTTATTTTGAACATTTGTAATACTTAGGTTGCTTCCAGCCTGGTGGAAGCTGCCTGCTCCTGCTGTCTTTGAGAAGACATGTGGTTGTTCCTGTGCCTTTTGCAGATTTTTCTCACAGAATCTGTCAGGATTTGACCTTTCCCAGTATTTTCTTTCAGAAAGCTGATTTTTTTTTCCTATTTTTCCTTTTCTTTTTATTTTCCTTCCTGGCATCTCTTTGCCTGCTCTCAGGCTCTGCTGTCTTTCTGCATGGCTGGAAATGTTGTTGGTGAATTATATGCTCCAATACAGTAATTTTAATTTGTACCAGATCCTTCTTGATATTCCCTTCCCCCTGCAGTATTTTTACCAGGTGTCCTTATTTTCTTGCATTTTTCTGTTTTGAATTGAAGCCCAGCCTGGTGGAGTTTATTTCTTCCTGCAGAGACGCTGAATCTCTGCATGTTGAAGTCACTGTTGTGTGCAGTGCTCAGGATCCATCCCAGGCTTAAGAAGCTTTAATCTTGGGTCTTTTCCTGTCTGATGAGCTGCTTCCAGCAGGGTGTTGGTTGTAATCAGGTGTATTTTGTGGTGGACTATCCCAGTGGCAGAGCTGGAACCTGTGTGTTGCCTATGGACATGTTTCTCTCACACTCTACAGCGTCACACCCAGTGTGGTGGTACTAATTTGGATTACTCCTGCTGGAACCCTCCTGCTTTTGGTCCTGACTTCCTGGACAGTTCTCTGTTTTATCCACTGCTCAGTTTAAAATGAGCAGTCCTTGGAGCAGCATTGCAGCTGGGAAGGATCACCTGCCTGTCCTTGCTGCCAGTGCTCTCCCTAGTCACGGAATCACAGGATGGTTTGGGTTGCAAGGGATCTTGAAGATCATTTTGTTCCAACCCTCTGCCCTGGGCAGGGACACCTTCCACTAGCCCAGGTTGCTCCAAGCCCCGTCCAGCCTGACCTTGGACACTTCCAGGTATGGGGCAGCCACAGCTTCTCTGGGCAACCTGTGCCAGTGCAACCTGTTCCTGTCTGATGCCCCCAGAGGTGATGGTACCCACCTTTGCTGCAGGGATGTGCTGCTGGCTCCTGTTGAGCTCATTGTCCACAGGGATCCCAGGTCTTCTTCACCCCCAGGTGTCCCCCAGCCCCTACTGGTGCGTGGGATTGTCCCCCTCAGGTGGAGGACTTTCCATTTGTTCTGTTGAACTCGATGGGACCTGCTGAGGTCCCTCTGACCAGCAGCACCACTGGGTGTATCTGGCTGAGGAGCTCTGTCCCTGAGCTGCTCAGGAATGGGGGAGTTAAATAGTTTTGGCCACATGTGGACCCCTGGGGTGGGCACACCCCCAGTGACCTCCTGCCTCTGGAATTGCACACCCAGTGACAGCTGTATCCCAGCAGTGTCTGTGAGGGTGGCTGTGCTGGGCAGTGTGGGAAGGTTGCTCGTGTTGGGATGAACAACATCTCCAGCTCTCCCTTCAGCCTCAGAGCTCACCAGTTCACCATATTGGTAAGGCTGGATTTTCCACTGTAAATCCATGCTGACTATTCCTAAATCCAAGCTGGAAGTGACTCCCAGGGCTTTAATATGTTTGGCTCCCAGGATTAGTTACTCCATCACTTCCCCAGGGACTGAGGTGGGGCTGCCCAGCCTGTAATTCCTTGGATCCTCCTGCTTGAAGACAGGAGTGACATCTGCTGTCTCCCAATCCCCAGACACCCTCCGTGGTTACTGTGCAGTGCCAGTAAATGCCTTACTCTCCCCAGTAACATTTGCAGGGAACTTTCCCACCTCTAACAGGCTCCTGGACTTGTGCCTGGGGCCGGAGGAGGAGGCAGGGAAGGGGGGGTGTGCATACAGCTGATGCCCCTGTAACCCGAGGGCACTTCCAGTGCAGGCAGCTGGGAAGAAGAGGATGAGGTGGAACCTGATTCCATCATCACCCCTGTCACCAGTGCACACAAATCCCAGCTTCCTTTGGGTTTGCCCTCTCCTGCCAAAGGCAGGCTGCCTATCACATGATAAGAGCTATCAGGCAGAGTCTGAGGAGAGCCATAAGCAGCTTTGGAGTATCTTTGTTGCTGACAGCTTAAATGGTGAGTGTGACAGACAGGCACACACCACTGCTGCTGCTGGGGCTGCTCCTGACTGCTGGCACTGATGCTTTTGTAACAGTGTTCCTGATCTTTGGATAGAACCACAGAATGACAGAATCACTGAGGTTGGAAAAGACCTCCAAGAGCATCCAGCCCAGCCTGTGGCTGATCCCCACCTTGTCCCCCAGCCCAGAGCACTGAGTGCCACGTCCAGTCCTTCCTTGGACACCTCCAGGGATGCATAAAATGTTACGCATAAAATAAAAAAAACCAAAAACTCCACCACTCCCTGGGCAGCCCCTTCCAGTACCTGACCACTCTTTCCATGAAGAAATTCCTCCTCATGTCCAACCTGACCCTCCCCTGGCACAGCTGGAGGCCGTTCCCTCTCCTCCTGTCCCTTGTTCCCTGACAGCAGAGCCCGACCCCCCCCCACTCCCCCCTCCTGTCAGGGGGTTGCAGAGCCAGAAGGTCCCCCCTGAGCCTCCTTTGCTCCAGGCTGAGCCCCCCCAGCTCCCTCAGCTGCTCCTGCTGCTCCAGCCCCTTCCCCAGCTCTGTTCCCTTCCCTGGACATGCTCCAGCCCCTCCATGTCCTCCTTGCTGTGAGGGGCCCAGAACTGGACACACACAAGGTGTGACCTCAGCAGTGCCCAGCACAGGGGGACAATCAGTGCCCTGCTCCTGTGGCCACACTATTTCTAATGCAGGCCAGGGGCCATTGGCCTTCTTGCCCACCTGGGCACAGCTTGGGCTCATGTTCAGCTGCTGTTGAGCAGCACCCCCAGGTCCTTTCCAGCTGGGCCACTTTCCAGCCACTCCGATGCTGGTTTTTCCAGCACTTGGATGTTCTCAGTTGGTTATCAGGAGGAACAGCCTCAGGGGCTGTGTGATTTTGCTTTTTGTACAGAAACTCCTTCCATTTTTTTTCTACCATCAAACTTCTCTAAACAATATACTGAGACCCCTGTATGGGCTTTGCATCTGTTTCTGGTTGGAATCACAGTTGGGGATAGGGCTTGTACTGGGTTAAAATGTCGGTGCTTTGGTGTTAATGCCTGAGGTGTGAAACCAGTGTTGATTTTTAGCTGTAGCAGCCTTGGTGTTTGTGGTTATAGTTTGGTTCCCTCACACTGGTACAGAGCAGTTGCTGAAGGACAGGGTTGCTGGGGGGATGTAAATAGTAATGATTGGTACAATGTCTTGCAGTTGGGCTTTGAGATCACGTTATGCAGTGAAGGTGCTGGACTCCTGTCTCACTGTGTCGTGCTGTGGCTCTAATGCTTTTGTTTTTTTCTTTACAGCACCAGAGAGAAACTGGATGTTCCTTTTGAATTCTCACAGCTCTGAGCAATGCAAAATCTCCCGGTGCATATATCAAAGTAAAATACTGTCCTCTCTTCCAGACATGTTGTGGTGAAGACCTCTCCCAACCACAAGTACATCTTCACGCTGAGAACCCACCACTCAGTGGTCCCTGGCAGCATCGCCTTCAGCCTGCCCCAGGTAGGGGTGGTTTGACTTCCTGCTTTGCTATGGAATAAGCAAAGTCTCTTTTGGGATCAGGATTGAACATAGGTTCTGATTGGAGTCAATGTGATTCCTGCACATTTGATCTCTGACAGCAGAAGTTCAAGCAGACTTTTACTACAACTGAAGTGACCATGGTTGTATTTCTTAGGTGTGTTTTTAGCACATGGTGAGATGCAGATACTGGAAAAGGTGCAATTTAACCTTTAAAAAACCCACCAGAAACAAACTATTTGAAAAAGAAGACAGCAATGTCTGCCCTTCCTTGTGAATTTTTATTGTTTCCTGTTTTCTCTTGAATTTAGAGGGTTTCTTTACTCTGTTTTTCTCTTTTTAAGACCTGCCAGAAGTCTTATTGACTACATCCAGTCATTGTTGGTATTTTTAGATGAATATGCATAAAATAAAAAAAAAACAAACCCCCTAGTCTCGTCCTCCTTAGTTAAGTCATTATCAGATGTTAAATGATGGTTAGGATAAATAATTAATACAATTAACTTCTAAATAGAAAAACGAACCTCAAGTCTAGGGTTGATTTTTGTAGGTTCCAGTTGTTGTTGCACAACCAGGAAAGCTGTGCCGAGGGGTGAAGCCTGGTGCTCACCTTGGAGAAGTGGCTGTGGCAGTGCTTTATTTCAGGGGATCATGGAGCAGTTTGGGTTGGAAGGGACCTTCAAAGTCTGTTTGGTCCAAACTCCCTGCAGTGTGCAGGGACACCTTCCACTAGACCAGGGTGCCCTGTCCAACCTGACCAGAATGTTTCCAGGGATGGGGTATCTGCCACCTTTCTGTGCCACAGTTTTATCCCTTCACCCTATAAAATGTCTGAATCCACCCCCTTTTAATTTAAAACCATTTCCCCTTTTTCTGTTGCTACAGGCCCTGCTAAAAAGTCTGTCCACATCTTTTTTTTAAGCCCCATTTAAGTATTGAAAGGCCTCCCTGAGATCTTTCCAGAACCTTCTCTTCTCCAGGTTGAACAGCCCCCATTCCCTCAGCCTGTCTCCATAGCAGAGGTGCTTCAGCCCCTGCTCATTGGAGTCTTCCTCATGCTGGGTTTTGATTTCCAGTATTTCCCAAAGCCTTGGATGGCTGCAGCCAGGGTGACAGCAGAAGTGTATCTGCTGTATGTGTTCATGGATGGCACGTCTGGGCACAGGCTCTGAAGCCTCCAGAACATGTCTGTTGTACATTCATTCTTTACCACGTTTGCTCTGTGATAATTTTGACTCTCAACACCAAAAGCCATGACAAATGTTGTGTACTGAGAGCCTAAAAGATGAAGAGCTGTGCAGTGATGACAAACTTGTAGCAGAAACAACCCAAATGAACACAGGAGGTGAGCTGTGTCTCTTGTCACAGAGGAGGTCCGGACTAATCTTCCCAGAGGGTGACCCAGGCTCCCCAGGGCAGTGGGCACGGCCCCAAGGCTGCCAGAGCTCCAGGAGAGTTTGGACAACGCTCTGAGGGACAGAGTGGGATTGTTGGGGTGTCTGTGCAGGGCCAGGGGCTGGACTGGATGGTTCTTGGGGGTCCCTCCCCAATATTCTGAGGATATTGGAGAGAGCATGAAGGAGGAAATGTTCATTTTGTAAGCAAGGTCATTGTATTCCTTCTCCCAGACTTGTTCCTTCCACGTGAAAAGGCAAATAGGAATGATCATAAGGTACCACATTTCTAATGTGATCTCACCAGAGCTGTGTGTGATGATTACATGTGTCTGTGATTGGAGCCTCTGTTTGATGCCTGAGAAACCCTGAACACAGCACAGCCTGGGATGTGGGCTGTGAATGCACAGCAACCACTGCAAAAGTACCATTTTTGCAACTGTGAAGCCAGAACTGTTGGAATTGTAAAGAATTGTTGTGTCACATAATTACTGAACCATTCCCCACTTCTCCTGAGGTTCTGTGTGGCACAAATCTGTCTACAGGTATTTGGAGGGACATAAAGAGTTCGAACAGTTTCACTTTTACCAGTTCTCTTGGTTTAGGTAATATTGTACCTTAAAGCACATTGCAGCAATTCCCTGCAGCTGCTGTACATGTGTAAGCTTTTAAAATGCTCACAGAGTGTGGAAGAGCTCTTCTGGTGCCTGTGGTGTGCTCAGCACCTGAGCTTTGGTAGGAAGTGAGCAGAAGGGCCAAGAGCCCTGTCCAGCACCAGAATTCTCTGCTAAGGATGATGAGGAGACCAGGAAGAGGAAGAATGTTGGACAGAACAACCCACTGAAGTCAGAGATAGAGTTATTTAAAGAGATTCTCCCGCGTTTGACTTGTTTTGTGTTAATTTGGTTGTCTGTGGGATATCCCATTGTGGTGCTGAAGGTTCTCAGGGGATCCTGCTTCTCTGGGTGAGGAGGCAGCCTCTGGGTGGAAGGACTGGCTTCCTGACATTTTTGTCTTGTTTTCACAGAGAAAATGGGCTGGACTCTCCATTGGACAGGAGATTGATGGTAAGTCAGTTGTCAGTGTGATTGTGACGTGTTTGCAAAAGCCGAATTCATGTTTTCATACTGAAGTGAAACCAAACTGGGAAATCTCAGACCCCCAGCCCTTCCTCAGGTGGTGAGGCCCTCGTGAGTGAGGGAGGGGCTCTTCTGCCTGCAGGCTTTCTGCATTTAACGTTTCCAAAACCTGGAGGAGTGTTTTGGCAGTGTCTCCACACGGCTCCATGTGGGACAGCAGATGTGAACACTGAGCGTGTCCTGGATAGTCTGTTCCTGGGTCACCAGCTAACAGAGGACAGCTCCTGTCCTTGGGGAATTTCTTGGCATGTGCCTTTTAATCTTGATACTGGGGAGGTTTTAGTGCCCAGAGTGCCCAGAGGCAGCCCTGGAGTGCTGTGCTTTGTGAACAGCACTGATGTTTGCACCAATAACTGAGAATATTCTATGAAGGGACAGGGATACCATTGTGCAAATGGAAGATTTGTGTTTCAATATCAAGTCTTAATCGAGGCTCCCGAGCCTTGGCCAATGTTTGGAGGAGACCAGTTCGCTCTGTCTTTCCCTCATTCGTGCTGTCACCCTGCTTTGGGAACTGTCTGTTCCCTCTGCTTTGGGAACAAGTGGATCACTGTCAGGTGCAGCTGTTGAATCTGTAGCTGCTGGAATATTGAGCAGACTCCTGTCAGCCCCTTGTTCCAGGAGGGTCTCTGTGTTCTTTGCAGCAGCAGGTGAAGGTAATGGATCATGTCTGTTCTTTGGACCCCCAGGAGTCACCTCTGTGCTCCTGGAGAGGCAATCCTCCTTTCCCTGGCTCTGATGAAACCTGCTCTGGTGCTTGGCTGGCTCCTGGTCTCTGAGGTGGAGCAAACAGTTCATTAGGCCACTGGAGTTGGTTACAGTGATTCCAGGGCATTCCCTCCCCGGGGGTTGTGGGCAGAGCATCCTGTGTCACAGGGTGAGGAGCACTGGGCCTGGGCAGTGCAGCAGGGGCTGGGAGTGCTGTCAGGGAAGCTGGCTCCTGGCCCTTTGTTTTCCCAGTCCCTGTGGTCTCAGCAGGTCCATGGATCAGTGCTTGGGTGTGAAGCCTGGTGTGTTTGGAGTGACAGGCTGCAGTGGGTCTTTGCCTCTCTACACCCCTGGATGCCTCACACACTGGGCTTGGAAGCCAGGATTTTAACCTGGAGGAAAGGAGACTGAGGACAGGGCAGACCTTATTGCTCTGTAAAAATACCAGAAGGAGGGTGGAGCCAGGTGGGAGTTGGCCTCTTCTCCCAGGAAACAAGTGACAGGATGAAAGGAAATGGCCTCAAGTTGTGCCAAGGGAGGTTTAGATTGGATATTAGGGAAAATTTCTTCATGGAAAGGGCTGCAGAGCCTTGGAACAGGCTGCTCAGGGCAGTGGTGGAGTCCCTATCCCTGGAGGTGTTCAGAGAACCCGTGGATGTGGCACTTGAGGACATGGGTTAGTGGTGACCATGGTGATGGTGCTGGTGGATGGTTGGACCTGATGATTTTAGAGGTCTTTTCCAACCTTAATGATTCTGCTATTCTATGATTTTTTTGCTACCTAGTTTTGTTTTGATTTGGGTTTTTTTAACTGAAGAATAACCTATAATAGAGGGGAGACCCATAAATTATTTTGTTTCTCACCCCTGTGTGGTTGCTGATTACATGCCAACTGCTTTATAGATCAATACTTTTTAGTCCTGAATTTATTAGAGGAAAGAAGCACTAATATACTGTGTCATTAGCTGTTAGAGCAGGTTTGTGAGTGTACCTGGCCTGGGCCTTGCTGTAAACTTCCCAACTCGGTGGGAGCCTGTGTTAGGAAAAATGATGCAGTAATTCTGTGCAGAGTGACTAAATGTCATCTGACTCCCTGCAGGGTGGGAGGGACTGTGATGTTATTCCGCAGGTAGGGAGGAGTGTTCACAAACCCAGTGATTTCCCAGGGCTCCTGTTTGGTTGTGATCCCCAAATAATGTGAGAACCGTGCTTTAAATGTCAGTGGAGCAGTGATGCTGAGCCCTGGAGCCCCCGGTGCCGTGGGAAGGGCTTTCAGGTGAGGGGTTTGCCTGAGTGCCGCGGGTGCATTGGCTGTCCTGCCCTCCATGCAGTTCAGCTCCCTCAGCTCCCATGTTCCCACTGGAGATGCACACCTGGAGCCAGGGCTGCCTTCCCAGACCAGGAGGTCCCTGCTGCCCTCCCATCCCACCTCTCTCTGGGCCATTCCAGGCTCTTGGAGCTGGTGCTGTGCTCTGCTGATGGGCTGCAGGGGTTCTGCTCTGTGTCACCCCCTGCAGCCAGTCCTGGCTGTAAGAGCTGCTTGTGTGCACTGACCCCTCAGGCCTGTGATGTGACCAAAGCCAGGGACTGATGTTCTTTCCAGAAACTTTTAGTTGACAAAGCCTGGAGGTTTGGCAAGTAAAAGGAAATCACTGTAAGGTGGGAGGAGCTCCTGCTGTGCCCTTACAGGACCAAAGGGATAACCCTGCTGCCATATCCGTTTTGGAAAGAACTCCAACCAGGAGGGAGACCTCAGTTCAGGAGGTGCTTGTGTTTTATCTTTATCCCTATTTCCTGGAAGAGCCTTCTTTGACAGCTCATTCCTGGGTGGCCTTTTCTCATCCCAGGAAGGATGTTTGGTGTGTGTGCTGTGATGACCTGTGTGTGTGTCTTCTGGTAACAACTTCAGCCAGGGACTGACTCTCTTTGTTCTCTTCACGTGAACAAGTCCTGTATTTGAGTGTGCTGGAGCCTTGTTTTGAGGTTCCACCTTCCCAGGGTCTGCAGGTTCATTCTGGAACCTTTCTGCTGCCAGAGGCTGGACAGGAAATCATAGATTGAGTGAAACACCTTTCCTTCATTCCCCTCCTGCTGCTTTATCCTTACCAGTGACTTCTGTAGCACAGGAGAGTTTGTTCTCAGCATTCAAAGCAAACTTTAACGATCCTCAGACTTCTGGAGGACCATTGGCTTCTTGTCCTCTTTTGCAGCCTGGTTTGGGGGCAGGGTCCCCACCCTCCTGCTGGGCCTGCCTGTTGGTGAGATCCTGCTCTCTGGTCAGCTGTGCTGAGAAGTGTCTCTGGTGTTGGAGCCATGCTGCTCTTTGCTTTCCATCCTCTTTCCTCTGGCAGCAGCAGCCCCGAGTGGCCTCTTGTTTCTGATGGGCTGTACCTGTGGGTTCAGGTGCAGTTGGCAGTGACTGTGCAGTACCTTCCATACCCCTCGACTTTCTGCCCCTTTCAAGGACCGTGCAGTTGGTTTTGTGTTACTGAAGGTAGTGGGAATGTCAGAATAGGCCCAAGGACACCCCTGGGGTAGGGGTTGTTCCCTCAGCAGCAGGCGAAGGGAAGCTGATGATGTGCTTCATTCTGGGCTGCAGAGGCCTCACAGCTTAAACATGGAGGGAATTACCTTCCTGCTGCCTCACTGGGAGAAGAGCTCGGCAACCTGTTGCCACAGAAAACCAGTGATGGCCTCCTGTCATTGCCTTTTGGGCAAGACTGCTCTTAGTGCTGGTTTTGTGCTTTCTGAAGATGTGTCCTTCAGACTCTTGGGTGTAGTTACAGCTGTGTGGTACCACTGCATGTCTTTGCTTTCATCCTCCTCGTCCCCCAAACCTTGTGTGGTGGTTGAGCTGTTTTCAAGGTTTATTAGAGTTTTTAAAGGGATTTTCAGTGGAAATTTTACTGTGTTCAGGACTTTGTAGTAGAACATGGATCAGAAATAATACAGTCAGTGTATACCAAGTGCTCATTCTAAAGGGAAGAGTTTTGCAATGATGTATTGCCAAATGTTCAATACAATGGGGACACCCTGCTGCTCTGAAATGTGCTGTTCCTTTCTGTTTTACCAGTCTCCTTGTACACCTTTGACAAGGCCAAGCAGTGCATCGGCACCATGACCATCGAGATCGACTTCCTGCAGAAGAAGAACATTGACTCCAACCCCTACGACACAGACAAGATGGCTGCAGAGTTCATCCAGCAGTTCAACAGCCAGGCCTTCTCCGTGGGCCAGCAGGTGGGCTTTGCTTTGGGATTTTAAGGCAAAATTCAATACCATGAACTGAACATGAAGGGAACATCTGGAGGGGTCCAAGGGACTGACGCTGCAAAGGCCAGGAATTGTTTGTTGTGGGAATGGTTTCCCTGTGAAAAGTCAAACCATCCTGACTTTCACTGACACGATGGGCAGAGGGGGTTAAAATCTCTCTTATCCTTAACTGAAGAAATCTGTGAGGAAAATCCCAAGGCCTGGTAGAGCTGGAGTCTCCCTGTGTCGTGGCCTGGTTGGATTATGAACATGGCAGCTCCTGCAGTCTTCTGAGAAGTCACTTTTGTCTCAAGATTGAGATGAACACTAGGTTTAGTTCATTCTCAGTGGCACCACTCAGGTTTAGATATTAGGAGGAAATCCTTCCCTGGGAGGGTGGGGAGGCCCTGGCACAGGTTGCTCAGAGAAGCTGTGGCTGCCCCTGGATCCCTGGAAGTGTCCAAGGCCAGGTTGGAGGGGGCTTGGAGCAACCTGGGCTGATGGAAGGTGTCCCTGCCTGTGGCAGGGAGTGGGACTGGATGATCTTTAAGGTCCCTTCTCACCCAAACCATTCTGGGATTCTATGATTTATTGCTACTCTATGGACTCCAGTAGTAAGACAGGGATGAAATATTTCCCTGAGGATCTTGGAAAGCTGTTGTCCCCGTAACTGGCCCTGCTCAGCTCTGCAGCAGATGGGCTTCTACCCCTGCAAAGCTCTGTGGCAGCCTCTGCTTTGCCACGTTCTCAGGACAGGTTGAGATTGGACTCTCGTAGTTTACAACTTGCAGGGTCTGAATCTTAAGCCAGTTGCAAATGTAATCTCAGAGGAAAGGGATGGTGCAGAACCAGCCTGGTTTCCTGTGGGATGGACCCTACTCCTTGTTCCGTTCATCCTGTCTCGTTAGCTTTGTCCCTGAGGTGTCTTTGTCAAACTGAAATGCGAAAAGTTTTGAGCTAAATTGTTCTCCTTGCCTGGCACCACTAATTAAAGTGAGAGGAAAATGTCAAGTGATGATATAGAACATTGAGCTGGGGAGGAAAGGGGGGGGGAAGAGAAGCTTTTCTTGGAAGGAGAATTTCTCTTTGAGTTTTTTCAGTTGATTTCATGTTTTGATACTTTGATCTGTCACTCTTAAGCTGGGGCAGAGAAAGAACGTGGTCAGCACCCTAGAGCTTTACAGGGTAAAAACCATGTGGGAGTTGTTGGGTGGTAAACTCAGTCTCCAGGCCTCTCTCCCTTCAAATCTTTGTAGTGTTGTCAAATCCTTTCTAGCTTTTTTTTAATGAGTCTTTTCCTTTCTACAGCTTGTGTTCAGCTTTAATGACAAGCTCTTTGGGCTGTTGGTGAAGGACATGGAAGCCATGGATCCCAGCATTCTCAAAGGGGAGTCTGGAACAGGCAAAAAGCAGAAGGTGGGCTCCCAGGAATTCATGTCCATTCTTAGGGACTGCAGGCATTTAAGTCCTGATCAAGTCCATGCTGCAGGTCAGGAGCAGTTCAGGGTACCTGCATTTGGAGAAGTCACACGTGCCTCACCTGGCTGTGTCTGTTGTGTCAGAGAAAACAAGGAGCACTGTTTGCAGTTTAGTGCAGTCCCCACTGAAGTCCAGGGCTGGGGAAGATACAAGGAATATCTCTTGGTCTTTAAGTACTAATTCATAGAAACACATTTGTCTTGAGCTTTTTTGTCTTCCAGTTATGTGCAGTTTTGATTTTTCCTTTAATTTTATTTTCTTCTTTACTTGCTGGGTCTTGCTGAAATAACATAGTTGGGTTTGAACTGAACGAAGAACTTTAAAAAGCCACTTTGTTACACCTGATGAGCTTCTGCATTTGGTGATGTTTGTTTTAGAGGAGGTGGTGTTATTTCACATTCTTCCCAGACTTTTGTAGTGGAGCTTTTGCTGCTGTTTCCTGTTTTTGGGGATACCTGAGGAGCAATCTGAAGCTGAGTCTAATAGCAATTAATGTGATTATTTGTTTCCCTCCCTTTTCCAGATTGAGGTTGGCTTGGTTCTTGGGAACAGTCAAGTTGCCTTTGAGAAAGCTGAGAACTCCTCTCTCAATCTGATTGGTGAGTGCCACTGTACCCAAAGAGAGAAATAATGCTTGAACTCTGCTGCTTTTCAGGCCTTGGAGACTTGGTTGCCTCCAAGTGTTTTTTTTCCTCACTGCTAGGTCTAGATGAGAAAAGCAAAGGGGGTGAGTAGATCCAGCAAAAGGCAGCACCCAGTTGAAATACTTTCGGAGAATGATGTTTTCAGGGACAGTAACAAGCCAACAGCTCTTACATTAAATTTAATTAAAAGAGCAGGGAGTAGGAAATTGAGAACTTTTTTGAATGTGTAGCCAAAATCTCAAAGTGAGCGTGAACTTCTGAAAATCTCATGTCAGAGAGTTCTCCCTTTCCAGGAGACTGGACAGCATCTGAGGGGAGCAGCCACTTAGGAAAGGAGAATTCCACTCCAAAAACGGGCAGATGGGAGCCTGTGGTGTAACCACACCTTCCACCTCCTGCAGATTTTGTATCCGAACACAGAGACTGTACTGGAACCCAGCAGAGGTCCATGGGCTGAGCTGTGGGTGGCTGTAATTAAGCACCTTAATGAGGATCCAGGTGTTAATAGCACCCACTGAACCTTGGGCAGGGCAATGAGTTCCCAACTGTGAGCACGTGGGTGCACCAGCTCAGTTTTCACTCTGACAGGACAGTTGAATAACCCTGTTCACTGAGGCAGAGCAAGCAGGGGTACTTTGCTTGTTAATATTCAAAGCCATATAATGACCTGTGATCTCCCTCCTGGCACATGTGGGTGTGAGGAGTGGTCCCAGGGGAGGGCTGATGGTTGGGAACAGGGATCTTTCCCCTGGGATTCTATTTCATTGTCTGCAGACAAGACAAAAGAGCTGCTTGTGCCTCGATTTACTTCTGTCAAATTGGTACTTCATTTAATCTCCTCATTGATCTGAGGCAGAGCTGCTTAATGTGCTTTGTTGGTCTCTGGAGAATTGTAAAGTTCTGAATAATTAAATTCTGAGAGAGGAGATGAAAGTGAAGTGAGTGTCACTGAGCTCTGCCTCCAGTAAAGGACCTGCATTGTTTTAATAGAGAAGAATTGTAATAATTGTTTTAAAAAAACCCGCAATTCTACTGCTTAGCATAAAGTTGTGTTATAAAACCAATGGATGATGTTTTAATCCAATCTGCAGGAATTTTACTGTGCTGAGGTGCAGCCAGAAGGGGGGGGTGTAGGCCAAGCTCTGCAGGAGCAGGAACATCCCTGGCTGAGGGATCTGTCCTAAAGGCTGGAGTGCAGCCCTGGGATAATAAACACATGAGAATTGGTGGATCAGCTCCCTGTGCCCTGCACAGCTCTGGCTCTTGGTGCTCTGGGTCACACGTACTGGCCCTGCTGTGTTGGTCAGAGGCACGACCCTGTTTGTTTGTTTTGCTGCCCTTGGAATTGAAGAATTGATTCCAGGTGTGTTTAGACCAAGATTAAAGCAGTCTGACTGAGCTCACACAGCCCTGCTGTTTGCTGTACTCACTGTACTCTGGATGCCCATCCATTGCCTGGCTCAACTTGAAGTTCCTCTAGAAGAGCTTGTGGAACAGGTCAGCAGAAGGCACAGTTGTTGTTTGCCATGATTAGGTGTTGGGAAGGAATTCCTCCCTGTGAGGGTGGGGAGGCCCTGGCACAGGTTGCCCAGAGAAGCTGTGGCTGCCCCTGGATCCCTGGAAGTGTCCAAGGCCAGGTTGGACAGGGCTTAGAGCAACCTGGGCTGGTGGGAGGTGTCCCTGGATGATCTTTAAGGTCCCTTCCCACCCAAACCATCCTGTGACTCGGTGATTCTCTGGTGTTTTAGGGAGGGAAGGGTCCCTCTTGGGGGACCTATTAAGGGCCAGCCCTTAAAGCACTGTGTAAGAACTCACCCCATTGCAGCAGGAGTTGAGGGTTATTGTCAGTCTTTGCTCTCTCTGGGTTTTCAGCTCCCTGTGTGCTTCCCTGGTAGCTGAGGGTGCTGAAAGCCATGTGGAAGGTTGGTCTGACCCACCAAAGTGTCAGTGCTTGTTTATGAACTGCCTTGAATAAATTTCAGGTGAGACTGCAGGGGTTTGACAGCATCCTTACAGGAGCATTTGTGCTTGCTGTCTGCTTTCTGAAAGCCCTGAGTACTTTAAACTCCTCTGCAGAGGGAGTGAGGAGCTCGGGAGGGCTGGAGTGTGAGTGCCCTGGCAGCAGAGGGGAGAGGAGGTGGTTAAAGAGACTGCAGAGCTGTGCCTGGGGGTCTGGCTGAGTAACTGTGGAAGAGGGAGGCTGTGGAACAGATACAACTGTGGTGATTTGCCAGGACCAGCCTTGGCTCTTCTGAGCTGTAAAGGAGCTGGTGACCTTGTGATTGTTTGGTGTGACCTTGCTGCAAATTGCTCTGCTGTCTGGGGACACTTTCATATGCTGTCCCTTCCCAAAGGATCCTGGAGAAAGTCTGCAGATCTTCACATCTTTGAACCTTAAATCTGTACAGGAGAAACCAACAGAAACTGTAATAAAACATTAAATTAGAGGAAACCTTTATAAAGATGTTGCACTGGGAAGGGTCAGCCTGCCTCGGGTCAGGGCAATCCTGCCTCCTGATCCCACTGCAGTTCATTACAAGAGTCAGGAAGCCCTGGCACAAGGGCTCACACAGCCTGCTTGTTTGTCAAAGCTCCTCCAGCAAGGTCCTTTATCAAAGTTTCCTAAAAAAGAATCAAACCAGAGATCTGTGAGAGAGAAGATTCTGTCATGAGTCAGTGAGTAGTGAAAGGGAAGGAGTAAATAGCCCGTGTTGGTGGAGTTCAGTGGGAATCTCTGCTGGGCCTTTGCTTCCCATTGGAATTACTGAATAAACTGGGGAAAAGCCTGAGCAAGGAGGTGCCCAGGCTGGCCCTGACTGAGCCTGGTGACTGAGGCAGAAAATGGCAGATGAAATTCAGTATAAATAAACATCAAGTGACATGTGGGAGGAAAAGTTGGGTAAAATGGGTGGCTGTGGTGGGACAAGATCCCAGGGAGGACAGTTTGAAGGGAATGCTGGGCCCATGCTCATGCAGCCTGAGCACTGTTAAGAATTATTGTGTTTGCTAAGAATTACTGCACATTATTCATAAAGGAATATGAACAGAGTGGAGCACAGTTTTGTACCTGTATTTAAGATACAACCTGCAGGTCCATCTGCCAGAGGACATGGGAAAAGAGAAAACTGAGAGAGCAGCAAGGGGGCTCCCGTGTGCAGCTGCTGCTGGGGAAGGAAGGGAGAACAGGTGAAGGCTGGAAAAGGCATTGAGGAGGATACAGGACAAACCTCTTGTCATTCCAGGTGGCCTGGAAAAGAGTGGACACTGGTGCTGGCAGCAGCCCCATGAGCTGGGGGCTGAGGCACTCAGGGTGCTCAGGTTACAGGGGTCCAGTTTGGGGCAGAGAAATCTACTGGGGAGTCTTCAATACCCAGGAGCAACACCTGGCTGGAGAAATCCCTGTGAGTGGTTGGAAGGCTGGGAAAATCCTTTACCAAGTAAACCAGGTCTCTGGTGTCCTGCCCTTGTGTCCTTGGCCCAGTGTGTCCTCCTGAAACCGCCCACGGAGTTCACAGGACGTGGGTCTGACCTGCAGAGCTTGTGCTGCTCCTGTACCTGTGTCTGCTGGAGTTCTGGGCTCAGTGTTTGAAATGATTCCTTTGGTTTTGCAGGTAAATCCAAGACCAAGGAGAACCGTCAGTCAATCATCAACCCAGACTGGAATTTTGAGAAAATGGGCATAGGGGGCCTGGACAAAGAATTCTCGGATATTTTCCGACGAGCTTTTGCTTCTCGAGTTTTCCCACCTGAAATTGTGGAGCAAATGGGTGAGTAATCCAGGGAAGTGTGGCTGGGGCATGGGGTCTGCAAGGACTGGACATCAGCTGACAGCCTTGGGATGCTGTAACACAGCAGTTTCTTAGGGATCTAACAGACCAACAGAGCCTCTTCTGTTGCTGCCAAACGTATTTTGGACTCTTGTTGCTTGGTTAGGGAAGGGCAACAAAACCAACACAAATGTTCAACCCTGCACCTGGAATGTCTGTAGGAATGAGATAACGTGGTTTAACTGGACACTGTTCTGGTGGAACTGAAACTGGAGCAGCCTGGTCTGGTGGAAGGTGTCCCTGCCCATGGCAGGGGGCTGGAACGAGATGGGCTTTAATGTCCCTTCCAACCCAAACCATTCCATGACTCAGCGAAACACTCCCTGTTCTTTGGATGCTTCGTTTATCCGTAGCAGTGGGATTGACTGCTCCTCTTCCAGACTGCCATGGGCTGTCCATAGAGGTCAGAAGAAAGGCTATTTTAATGCTTCATAATCCCTCTCCCATATTCCATCCCAGCTGTCCTGGCAGCTGCAGTGGGAGCCCCATGCTCCTCCCAGCCTCAGCCCAACAGGCGCAGCCCCGGCGTGGGCTCGGTCGGGTTTGCAGTGCAGAGGACACACAGGCCGTGGCACGTCCTGGAGCTGGGGAAATAAAAGCACCGATTCTAAATATAACTCCTTTTTTTGGGCCAGGGGAAGGAAAGGCAGCCTCAGTGCTTGGTAAACATGTGCTGGCAGGCAGATAAATGGTGCTGGGTTTAGTTTGTAGTCAGCAGGTATCTGATTCTGTCACAGAACGTGGCTGGGGATGTTCTGGCTGCTCCTTGTTCTTGGAATATAATCTCTGTGGGTTTATATTTAGGCTTGGAATCCGTGGCTGTATAATTTCTGTGTATGTTTATGTTTCTGAGCCACCTTCCCTCCCCCCATAAATGAAGCAATCAGGATTTTGATTACAAACCAGGTTTCCAGCAGGAGATCCGTCCTGTCTGTGCAGGGGCCTGTGGAGCGCGGCCGCTTCCAGTGCCTGTGGAATTGATGCAAAGTAAACTTCCCTGGGAGCTGCCTTCAGTCTTTTCTGGGTGATTTGAAAATCTGTGGAAGAACACTGGAGAAACTCTGGGGCTGAATCCAATTAGTGCCTGATTCTCTCTCTCCTGCCTTTTACTTCCCATTGATCTGAGAGCCGAGGCCTTTGGGGGGATGATCTCGGGTCTCCTGGGTTTTGTGGCTGTGAACAAGACATCACTGCTCTGCTTCTGCTTGAGAACATCAAATGCTTGAATTTGTTAAATATTTAACTGCTCTGCAGAGAGAGGAAATGGGAGAAATGGCCTTGGCTGTGGAAAGAAGAGCTTTTACCCAGAGACACTGGTGGCCAGTTCAGCGCTGCTGCTGCCAGCAGCCTCCTGTGCTTGAAATGTTTTACCTTTGGAGGCAACTGTCGTGTGTGTTCATGAAGTCTTCCTGTGGAGACAGGCTGGGAGAGCTGGGGCTGTTCAGCCTGGAGAAGAGAAGGCTCCAGGGCGACCTTAGAGCCCCTTCCAGTGCCTAAAGGGGGCTTATAAAACAAAGGGAGAGCGACTTTTTACCTGGGCAGACAAGAGGGAATGATTTAAAACTGAAAAAGGAGAGATTTAGGTTGGACATTGGGAATAAATCCTTCCCTGTGAGGGTGGGGAGGCCCTGGCACAGGTTGCCCAGAGAAGCTGTGGCTGGCCCTGGATCCCTGGAAGTTTCCAAGGCCAGGTTGGATGGGGCTTGGAGCAACCTGGGCTGGTGGAAGGTGTCCCTGCCCATGGCAGGGGGTGGCACTGGATGGGTTTAAATGTTCCTCCCAACCCAAACCATCCTGTGATTCTCTGACTTTGTGGCTGCAGTACAAAGTCCTGAGATGTGACCATGTGTGAAGGTAAAAGATTTAGGCTTTGGGAGTTCTCACCCAGTGCCACTTCAGTGTCAGGAGTGTGTTTGGAGACTAAAGACAATGAGAGCTTGTTTCCCTGTTGCTGCAGCTTCCCCTGGCTGTGTGTGGGCAGGCTGCCAGCCTGCTGTGTCACATACCATTGCATTCCCTGGGCATATCCACGAGCTGGATTCACCTGCCAGCTGGGCAGCAGGTGACTGATGTGGAGTTCCTACACCTCCACCAGGGACCTCTGGAGCAGGTGGGAATCCCTGCTGGCTGCAGGGTGAGGCCCTGGAGCTGGCCAGAGGGTTCCTCTTCTAATTGGTATTGCTTAATACGGGAAGACAAAGATTCTCTGACGGCCCAGTAGTATTTGGATTACCCTGGGCAATGAATTCAAGGTGTGCCACGTTCCCTCTCTAAGCACAAACCCCCTCACTGTGATGTTTACACACAGGCTGCACACAGAGACGTTGTTCAGGTAAGAAGTTGGACTGGGAGCAGAGCTCCTGAGCTCTGAGTAACCCCAGGGCGAAAGAGCTTATCTGAAATTTGAAAAACCAAAACTTTCTGACATTCATTTTCTTTGCCTTAGTTATAACTTGCTCTTAACTATATTTCAGATCTGAAATGTCAGTATGACAGCTGTTCACCTTTGTGAATAATTTATTGGGAAAGAAAAGGAGGAATTTGCTTGCTCCCTGGTGCTCCAGTGTTCACCCAGTCCTGTTCTTTGCCCAGTGCTCCCAGACTGCAGCTTCCATGCCAAACACCATAAATATTTCTGTCCAAAACTGCACAGAGGCTCTACAGACCCTTCCAGCATTACTTGCAGCTTGTGTGTGGTTGATATAACTTCCAAGGAATGTTCTGGGTTTGGAGCACATAAATCAGTGTTAGTTAACCATATCATCCAAGGGGGGAAATGCTGCTCTGATGGTACAAGCTTTGGTGTATTCAAGAAAAGAAATGTTAGCTCAGCTCCAGCTGGTCACTAACCCTGTCCCTGCTCACCTGGAAGGGGCAGTTTGCTTTTCCCATACATGGATCTCCCACTCCTCTGTGATGGCTTTGGGCTTGCGGGGCTCTGGAGGGAACTAATACAGTTGGAATCAAAAAATACTATTAATAAAAGCAGTTTATAGGGTTGTACTCAGCTGGATCAGTTCCCTGGTTGGTGTGATGTGACAGAACCATTGAATGGTTTGGATGGGAAGGGACCTTAAAACCCATCCAGTGCCACCCCTGCCATGGGCAGGGACACCTCCCACCAGCCCAGGTTGCTCCAAGCCCCGTCCAACCTGGCCTTGGAC